TTATTTTTCTCTCTCATTACTTACTTTAGAAAATCTTTCTTTCTAAAATGTGAATCTAACAGGACTAGTGCTAGTGATTTACTTGTATAAAGAAAAAAAAGAAAGCTTTAATTAGCAATAAATAAAACATTAGACTTAAAAAATGAGCAGCTTTAGTGTCCATGAAGTTCTCAGGAGTTTCTTTTTATGTTCCTGCAAGTTTCACCTTTTACTAAATCTCCTTTTAATTAAATCTGCTTTTCTTCAAGCACCACTAATAATAAGCAAAACTATAGCTCTTCTAATCTTAATTTTTACTTTAATTGTTAATAGAGTCACAGTACTTTTTTTTGTACTTTTGTATTGCAAATAAACTATGTTTAAGTTATATTATAAGACAAATACGCTTTTAGGACACTTTTTTTTGTGTGGGATTTCATTGTAACATAACCACCCACCATTCACAAAATCTTATATATAAAAACATATTCAGTGTTACTGGGATATAATCCACTTATACCAAGGTGATGATTGGTATTTAAATAGGAAAATACTGACAAAAATAAGTATAGGCACTATGATCTTTCTTTTGCACCAACCAAATCTATTTTATACAAGAAAAAGCTTACTTAACATTTCTATTTGAATTCTTTAAATTTTAGAGGCATGGTCTTTTGCATTATTCAGGCAAAATGTTGTTTACTAGCCTTTAAAATTCAAGAAAGTTTCTCATAATGCAGACCCACATATTCGAAACTACAGATACCAGTTTTTTCCCTTCAACCAGAGGAGTGGAAAAGGCAGATAGATGGTAGGCACTTTCTATCCGTGACCTTACCTAAACTTATAACAATCTTGGAACAGAAACTATTGCCCTCATTTTACAGATGGCAAGCTCAAGTTCAGAGAAGCTAAATACATTTCACTCAACTTCTGATGTTACTGCTTTGACACTGGGATATGTTTGGTAACTTCAAAATGAAGCCATTAAAATGTCATCTCTAGAAGCCACAGAAAAAGTGTGTGTGTGTGTGTGATGGTGTTTCTCTCTCTATGCTCCACCCCAAGCCCATTTTTAGGGGCTGGCAATGGAGAGGGTCAAATAGAGGGCTGAGGTTAGAGTTGGAATGAGGGTGAGAGATGCCACCAGGTCATGATGAGCTGGAAGGCACAACTTGAGAGAGCAGGAACTGAAAGTCAGGCATGTCTATTGTACGTTATTTACTAATAAGGTTTAGGTATTTCCTATTTTTTTTTTTGTGTGTGTGTGTGTGTATGTGGGTGCATACCAGGAATTAAACTCAGGGGCACTTGGCCACTGAGCCACATTCCCAGCCCTATTTTGTATTTTCTTTAGAGACAGGGTCTCACTGAGTTGCTTAGTGCCTTGCTGTTGCTGAGGCTGGCTTTGAACTTGCAATCCTCCTGTCTCAGCCTCCTGAGCAACTGGGATTATAGGTGTGCACCACCTTGCCTGGCTCAGGTATTTCCTATTTTGATAAGAGTTGCTTTAATGCAATCTTCTTAAAATAGGTTGATCAAGATACACTTCTCAAAATGGTTAAAATTTGAGAATTTAGTTAAAACTTCCCTGCTTTGATTATCCAAGCTTCTCATTGGAATTGCCTGAATTTCAACTCAAACCTATGGCCTCAAATCCCAAGCTTATACCATACCACAACCACTAAAAACAACTGCCAATTCCAATACAACAAATATCACCTCAATATGCATACATTTAAAACCAAATCTGTACATGACAGCAACGTCCTCTCCACTTGTTATATCTGGCTAGTTTATTAGATAGGAAGGAGAAACACTAATGTCCTTTAGAATGAGCACTAACAATCTTGAACAAACCTCAATCAAAAGTATTTCCCTCTGGGATCTTCAAATATATGTAATAGGTTTTAAAATTATTTTTAAATCCGGAAGCAAGGGGAAGTTCTGACTTCAGATATTGTGTATGGAAGAAAGGAACCTACTACTAAGAATTAAAAGCAACTCATTTCTTTACTTAAAAACAATGTGCTCTAGGATGACAAGCTGTAAAGTGATTTACAACATATTGACAGCAGTTCTTCTAATGAAAAAGCAATTGTCCAAGTATTCCCTGGAGAATGCTCTCAGTAACAACAATCCAAGCTCATGGAAAGTCATGAGTTAGAAAATGAGAACCAAATGAACTCACAGCTGGGAAGAGCCAACAATAATTAATTTAATACCAGCCATTCGGTGTAGACCATGTCTACATGTCCCTCGAGAGAAACAAGGTCACTGGAGGGCAGAAGCCACGTATTCAAATATGTTTAAAGATTTTTTTACTTAATAAAATAACATGCTTCAAAGATTTTATATAAAAAACCTGATTTTTTAAGATGAGGAGGCAAGAATTAATAGTTGGTCAGTATCATCATTTGAATTTCAGTATAGGACAAGTGTTTCTGAAAAATGTACCAAAGTGACTTCACATTGAATTTTGGACAATTCATTCCTCAACAGCAGCAGAAAGAAAGCAGTGTCATTAAAAGGGGTTTTATTCTGACTCACTGGTTAGGAAAATGGGAACAGTTTGAGATCGTCCATGTTGTTTCATTTAAATGAATAGCAAGCATGTTTCATGTCCTTATTAAAACGGTTACTGTGTTTTTCTAGTCTCATTATCACTGCTAGAGTCTACCCTCTGTTGTTCCACGATCAAGACAACTCCTTTTTGTTTCAGAGAAGATCAGAAAGTCAAACCTGATTGCTCACATGTTGTTGTTAATAAAATTCCTATGGTGCTGCTCAAGGTGCCCATGGGGATTGCATAATTATTTATATTTTCTCATGGTTTTCTATAATTACTGTGATTGTACTTTCACAAACTAAATGTATCTCCATCAATTAAAGCAGTGGTGGGTTAAGAATATTCATCAGACTTGTGTGAAAGGATATTGTTCTTAGGGTTTTGATCAAAGCACAGAAATTAAACTGCTGTTATCCTGCATTCGACTCAAGTGTTAAATTAAAATGCTCAGCAACTTTGGAGTTTATTTGAGCAGATGTTAACTATTTATGAAAATAAACATGATACAGGACTTGCATTCATGATAGGACTCTTTGTTGTATTAAAAGTGGTAGGGAAAAAAAGCCCTAATACACAAACTTATGGGATATGTCTTATGGTATGTGACCAATTGGAATTACTGTTAATTCAGGTCAATTAAAAATTTTACAAGCATAAAATTCTAATGAATTGCATTTGGGGCTTACATATTTATATCTTTCTATCTGTTTCACCCCTTAATTTCCATTGAGGCAAGATGATGAAGGAAGAGCCTCTATAGAAATAAGCATCTGATGCTATCAAATTGAAAACATAAAAGATAACCTTTCCTACATTGAATAGAAATTTCATTCTATCTAGCCTGACATGCTTGCAGCAAAGTGACCGGCTGTAGTTCCATCCCATTAGCTGTCATTTTGATGCTAGAATTTTAGCCTGCTGTGTGTGAAATGTGACTGTACATGCACAATTCCCATCAAAGGTAATTTTCTGTGCAATGGTGTGTAAAATTTACCTCTAATTATGATAAGGTCACTGATGGGTCATTTATGATATACTCTCCAGAGACAATGGTGGTGAATAGCTTTCAGCATGATTCATCTGAAGGAATTAAATTGACTCAATAGAAAAGAAAAATCTCTAAGAAAATTATTCCCCAATCAGGTCTATAGTTCTAAAGGAAACTAGAGCAGGGTAGTATGCATAGTGGTGAAGGTTGTGGACTTCGGAATCATGCAGACCTGAGTTTTAATCCAGGATCTCTGAGCCCACATGAAATGGCCTCTGAACATCTTATGGTCTCCCTCCTGGACATGTGTTCTCTCACTAAATGGGTTCCTTGTACCACGGGCCTCTTTCCTGGTCCTTGAATAGGCCACGGTCATTCTTGTTTTGCGGTCTTTGTACCACATTTCCTCATAGTTGAAATTCTCTTCCTCCAGATCCCCACATGCCTAGAACTTCCTTGTTTTTCACTGTCCGATATGTAGAATGTATCATTCCACTGTCTGAACTATCCAAAGGTTGTCTTCTCTGCAAGGCATGTTGGGAGTTCCCTACGTCATGTAGTCAGCTCCTATCCCAGTTAATCACTGCTGTATCATCTGGCTGATGTTAATGAAATACTAATCACAACTGAAAGTATTTATTTACTATTTGCCGTATAATCGAATTTCAATGTGAGCATAGGGGGGATTTAAAAATAAAGGGTGTTATCTTAATTAGGATATTTCACAATCTTGAAACCCCATTGGCATTAACTATATGAGTCACTAGTTCAATATTTCTTGATTAAAAAAAGACATCTCAGTTACTAAATCAGGGCTGAAAAAAAAAAAACTTCTTGGAGTTTTATAAAACAGCACGAAAACAGAACTATTTATGAGAAAGTTTGCTAAATAGTCACCAGAGTGATTTCACTCTGATCATCATGGACCTACATGAAGGAAGAATATGGTAGTCGCTTTTATTAGTAGTACTTTTTTTTTTTTTTTTTTTTTTTTTTTTTTTTTTTTTTTTTTTTTTTTTGCTACCAGGGATTGAACCCAGGAGAACTTAACCACTGAACCACATCCCCAAGCCTTTTTTATTTTGAAACAAGGTTTTGCTAAGTTGCTGAAGCTGGCCTTGAATTTATGGGTCCTCCTGTCTTAGCCTCCTGAGCTGTTGGGATTATAGGCTGTGCCACCATGTCTGGCTCATTAGCAGCACTTATTGATGAGGGTTTTATATGTAATTGTGGAAAACAAAAATTTGAGATTAAGGAAGATAAAATTTCATATTTATTTAAATCTTTCTATTTTGTTTTCAGTCCTCCTCTGAAGACATCTTATTTGCAGGCATAATATTCACTTGTTAAGTGGTTCAGTAAGTATTTGTTAACAAATGACTAAATGCTAAATGAACTGGAAGATCATTCTTTATGTTCCAATACCTAATGTAAATTATACAATGAAAATGATGAAATCCTTACCAAAGGGTCCAGTCATGGCCACAGTATGGCTGAACATTTCCAAGGTAGAATCCTAGAGATTGAGTGACCTCCACAAGATTGGTAAAATCAAGACTAATGCTGTTGAATAGAACAGACGTCATGATAATTTCATCAATAGCCCACACGTCTTCCCCCTGGGAAGAATGATATGGTTGCCACCATCTGAACTGAATTCCAAACTGTCTTGCATTATCTGGTAATTCTACAGAGATTATTCTAAAGAAAAAAAAGTTAAAAATTCAAATTACTTTGTTGTCTTAATATACAAATATATACAGCAGGACAGTTTTATCCCCCTGAAGCGTAGTCTTAAGAACAGTTCTATCACAAATATTCTTTTGAGATGTCCAATTTCTTCTCTGACTCTAACAATGTTTTCTAAACCCATCCAAATACGTGACCATGGTCATTCATTTGTTCTCAAAATGGTGAACTCAATACAACACAGTAGTCAAAGTGGCAGGATTCATGGGAGTTTGGTGAAAGATCTCATGGCAGCTCATTACATATTTACAGTTTGGGGCTAGAACCATGGCACTTCCTCATTCCCCAGAGTTTAGCAAAGTGCGTATAGGTCACTTGCTGTGTCATGGCAGCTATGACAACAAACTTGTATCTGACAAATGGGGAAGAAAATTAAGAATAATATCTAATTTCCAGGAGCAATTATTGTACACAGCAGCAGGAACCATACATTAATTGCCACTGCAATGACATCTGCTTGAAAGCTCCATAAATCACAGTACCATGCTGCTCACATCCACACACAGGTGAGATGTGAGACAAACAGCAAATGGAACATTTGTCTCCATCAATGTACAATTAAACTCCAGGAGAGGTGCTTGCAGTAAATGCATACTGAAGGGACTGCAATCGCCCTCCACTCTCCTCCCCGCTGCTTAGCAAAAAGAAAAACTTCCTGAGACAAGTTGAGATAACTCAGAAATAAACTTTAAAAACTTCAATGTCCAAAGCAGAATTTATGAAGAAATTAGGTTGATTTTCATATCTTTGTTGTATAAAAAAAACATGTCAAATGATATGTATAAGAACATATTGTTTTTAATTAGTTTTAATATGTAATTTCTTACATATTAAAACTAATTAAAAACAATTTTTTCCTTTACATAATTTGTACATGGATATATAGGGCAGAAGAACATGACTATCTCTGTTGGTTATACAAAAACTGAAAAAAACACAAAACCTGGAAGGACGTTTTGGTGCAAGAGCAAATGCAAGTTTTAATAATGGATAATCAATATGCAAATACAGAAATCTAAATTAAATTTTTTTTTAGTTGTAGATGGACACAATACCTTTATTTTATTTATTTATTTTTATGTGGTTCTGTTCTGGAGATCAAACCCAGTTCCTCTTGCATGCTAGGCAAGCACTCTACCACTGAGCCACAATCCTGGCCCCAGAAATATAAATTTTAAAGCACTTCTTAAACTATAAAGACATAGAAAAATACATTTGTGACTTTTAAAGACTTTCCATGATCTGCTGAATTTTTTATACTAATGGAATTTATTAGAGTAAAACTAAGGTAAATTAATTTTAATTTTACAATAAAAATATTTTTATTAGATAGATACATGTATTTATTCATAATAAACATACAGAAGCTAAATAAAGTTATTAAGTTATATTTAAACTGGTTCAAGAATGAAAACATCAAGTATTGAAAATAATTTAATTTTCTTAGACCTATTATTAGAAAATTATAATTTGCTTTTTGGTAATAATTTTTAAGGGAGCTAATATTCTCTCTTAGGAAAATAAATATTATGCTTAAAAATAACAACTGAAAATAGATTTCCAGGAAAATTTTAAGGAAAACAAAATATATATGCATGTGACAGCAGTAATTAAAGTGATCACGTTAAGACCCTTCATCTACAATCAAACTCTTGGGTTAGAGTCCTTGTTCTGAAACCTAATTATTGGTGATTTTGCAACCACAGAGAGCAGAGAGATAATTCCATGTGCTTTGCATCTTCATGTGTGAAATTGATATAATGATATCCATAAAGTAAGGATCAGGGACTTTCTTGCCTGTTTTCCACTCTTATGTCTTAGTACTTTGTGCAGTACCTGGCACATAATAAGGATTCCAGGAGTGAGTCCTTGGTGCATAAAGTGTTATTACCAGTATCCCTGACAGAGATGCAAGGACAGAGGCATGAGAAGGTTAAAAATTATTTTTAGGGGCTCGGGTTGTAGCTCAGTGGTAGAGTCCTCGCCTAACATTGTGTGAGTCATTGAGTTTGATATATATAAATAAATATAAATAAATAAAATAAAAGTACATTGACAACTAAAAAAAAATTTAAAAATTACTTTTAGGTTAAGCAGATTCTAAGTGGCAATGACAGGATTTGAATCTAAGCAGCTTTGTTCTAGAGCCTTATTCTTATTCTCTATATCACATCTTGGGGTGGAGTGGGAGTTTGCTGATTTCACTACTCTTACATATCAGAGTGGCTGGTTAAAATAGCTATAGGATCATTTAATTTGAATATGACTAGATAAGAACCCAGAGACTTAGTTCAACTTTCTGTCTCAATATCCCTTTTTGTGGGTAGGGAAGAAGTTCATGGATTTCTTTTAAAAAATGTTCAATAATTATATGTATTATGAAATTGGATGACATGATAAAACCAGGAAGAAATCAAATATGATAATCAAGATATAAAAATAAACTATGATTTGATCTTATAATAACTTTAGAATATAAAAAGCCCTATAATTAAGAAAAATCTAGAATAATTTTAGTCTCAGCAGCAATATTTTACATTAATAAAAGTATCAATTAGTTCAGAAGACATTCTAGTCAGTTTGAATTAAAAGACTAATTTAGATATATTACTAAATTTTAAATTTTATAAATAAGCAGATTGGGTTCTTTTATTTGCTGAATCATAGACAAGCAAATTATCTGAAATTGTCTAGGAGTAACAGTGGTTAGCCAGCGAGCATATCTAATTTATGGATCACACTTCATTTTCAAACAACCGTGGCATAAAAGAACAATATGGAACTCACAGCAATTATAGGAAGCAATTTATACTGAAGAAGATACAGAAAATGACTAAAGGCATAAAGATATATTTAACTCTCCTATGAAGAATCTCCATGGTTTGTATTATTTATCATATGGAATATAATTTAGTATCTAGAATATATCAAATTCCACTTCTGCCATGTCACCTTTTATTAATATTTGTAAGAGACAGGGGGTGGGAGGAAGAGTCTCACGGACAGAGGTACATATATAGAAAATGAAAGTGTACTGCTATCATTACCACACTCCCCTTTTCAAAAAATCTCTACTGTGATCATAATCTTTCAAGCTCTGCACATACCTAATATTGAAAAGCCACCTTGATTCTGCTTGGAAGAAAAATGTTGCTGTCAAATGGTAGGCAAGATTAAACATACCTTTGCAATAGCACATTAAATGTGTAATTATTTTTCATATCAACAAAGATTAATTAAATTTCATGATATAGATTGATTACTGAATTTTGCAGCTGTCCATCCTTGTCAGAAAAAAATTGGGCTTTAGGCCAAGTTAACTTAGGACTGTGATATTTTCTTCATGTTTTCATTATACCTTAATTTTTGTTTAATTTTCTTTTAATGCTTTTTATGGAGAGTCTATAAAATGTTTTTTAGGATTCATGTATCTCTACTGAGTGAGAAAAACAAATTCAGCCTTGCATTTTTATATACATAGGGAAAATACCCAACATGGCTGGTGCATTCTTAAAATTTTATGATGTATAAAATTTAAGTCATTTAATAATAGTTATTAATTACTCTCTGTTATGTGCTACTTAATTTTCTAGAAAATAAAAGTACTCATGTATTTGCAAATATTTAAATATGGGGGAAGAGCTACACAAAATTGCAAAATATGTCAGTGGCTCTCTCTCCTACTTCTCTGTCTTTTCTCATGGTGCCAATGCAAATTTTAATAACTAATGTCCTCCACCTTCTCATCTCCTATGATTAAAAGGTTCTTCCAGAAAGGGGACTGGTGTTTATCCAGTAGCCAGGTGGCTGCCAATGTTAGTCCTTTACACACGACTGTGCGTATAGACCACAATGTGCACTGCTAGTTATATTTTAATTTTTTACCTTAATTTTGAGATTTCTCAACCTCTTCCCTTTGTTCTTTTAAAAGGAACTGCGGTGAGCATCTCAAAAAGTGTTCTTGCAGGGGAGAGAATCTTTCAAATATGTATGAAATCTATTACTAATGGTGGTTACTACTCTGCTAACATTTAAAGATGACTTTCCTTTAAGCAAAACTTGAATCTGACAATAGGTCATGATATATAGAAGCTAAAGGAAAACAGAAGCAGCCTAAAGAAAGGGCTTTAATTATGTCCTCACACCCTGCCTTTGCTAGGGACTTTACAGCATGCTAGAAAATTTTTTTGTACTCATTATTTAATTACACTGCATGCAAAATTTAGAAACATATTGGTTATCATATTTTATTAATTATTATGTCATAATTTATTATAAAATCAATAAACATTTGTTAGCAGTACTTACCATTTAATTCCATATTAAAATAATATCTAATAATTTACATTATAGATATTATTATAGAATAAGGAAGGTGGTATCAACCATTTTTCTTTCCTAAACAACAAAATATTTTCCTTAGATGCACATTTCAAAATAAGAATAATTTTCTCCAAATTATCAGAAATCAGTCAGACAGAAAGATTAGAAAAATGTGTCTCGCTAGTTTTTTATTGCAAGACACATCAATCTTTTTCCTCTCCATCTCTCAATTAAAAAAAAGTCTGAAATCTTAAACTGTTTAAATTATGTTTGTCCCAGGAAGGAGATATCACATTAACCATTTTTCCAAATGATTTCCAACGTACCTGGGCTCATGGTAGTTGAGATATGAATAGTGCTCCAAGAGTTTCCAAGTTATCCCATTATCATAAGAATAATGCAATAGAACACCTTCACCAGGCTGGTCCGGGGCTCTGCATGTGCTCAGAACAGACTTGCTCCCCAGTCTCAGTGTGAACTGGAGAAACCTAGACATGAATTGCCTATGATTAGCGGATGCATAAACATTTTTACTCATAATGTTCATTTTGGTTTTTTAAAGAATTTCAAACAAATTTAAATTAACTACCTACAAGGTGTAGGTTTCCACTTATCCCTCTGTTACAAAATGTAAGTAATGACACTGTGAGATGTATGAATATGTGTAGATGAGATCAATGTGCATATTTTAAATACAGATATATATTCATAAAAGTATAACTGTATGTTCATACATATTTGTATACTATGTACTTATGTACACACACTTAAAATGCCAATCACTCCTTTACTGCATTATTTATTAAGAACTGGGGGAAGGGAAGATGTGGAATAAATCTAATCAGCCTCTGCAAGCTGTCAAATAAATAAAACTACATGAATAATTAACTAGCCTTTGGCTTAAGAGCACAGTTTTGATTTGAACATCTCATATTTAAAAAAATCTAGTCAGTCATTAGTATCTCAAAGTCATTGATGAGCTTTCTAATTTATTAAAAACTGGAACAAATTAACCCTAAATAAATGGTAAGTTCCTTTCCATCCTGGTTAAAAATTGGAAGATGGATATATCCACAAAAAAAGAAAAAAGAATATAAGTTGAAAGAGATGTAAATTCAACATTAGCATCTGGTTTCTGCATTATTCCAGCCCTCCTTCACTCACCTGGATTGGGAGCTGTCCAGGAAGGATGTAATTAACTGGCGTCTCCCATCTTTATTGAAAACCAGGGCCTTACCGCTAGCGAGGACACCACAGCCAAAGCTGACTTCAGCACCACGGATAGAGTAAAAGTTATGGTAGGAGGAGAGCCTGGAACTGCCAAAACTTTCCGAAATAAACATTGGGAATGTCTGGGATGCCATCTCACAAGCTGGGCCAGAAAACCCAGGGTCACATCTGAAAGAAATACAGGGTAAAATTAAATCTTAAACTGTGAATTCTTTCAGAGGGTCTTCATTCTACTTTGGGGAAGAGGGAGTCCAGAGGCCAGGATTTGATTGAATGGTAAATAAAGCTTATTAGTCTCTGAAGAATATTGAATCAGAAAACTTGATAAGGACTGATTGACTGTAAATATTCCAGAAGAATATAGTCTTCATAAACTGCCACTGTAATAAGTTTATGATTAAAATAATAATCCAGCACTCACCTTCAACCAGTGACCTCAGTTTATTTAACATTCATCTGAAGTCTGCATATTTGCAACTTAAAATCTCGTAAAGATACACACACACATACACTTATAATAATACTCATTAAATTTATAAAGAAAACAATATAAATAAAATACTTCAAATAAGATACCTGGAATAAGTTTCCTCTAAGGACAAATGCAAAAAGACATATTATAATAGGAATTATTATAAATATTTAGAAACAATTGGAAATATATCTTTAACCATTTCAGACCTATATTGACGTTATAAAGAGAATATATTCACCCTTCACCTATACATAAATTCCAAGGATAACTGTGTGGTGTCTCTGTGGGCTACCAAATTAGGCATGCTTCAAGAAAAATCAACTCATTTCCTCTCCCACCCCCAACAATTTGCTTGGGAGAATGTGCAATATTTCTGTTAGCTGACTAGACTATATATGGAGTTCCCTGAGTCTTCTATCAGTGAGTAAAACCTCATCACAGATGGATCAATAATTGAATATAAGAAAATTCTCACATTTTAAGGAGTATGCTCATCAGAAATTAGTTCCAAATTATTTTTTTAAAAAATATTTTTAAATTTTGGATACTGGGGATTGAGCCCAGGGGTGCTCTACCACTGAACTACATCCCCAGCCATGTTTATTTTTATTTTGAGACAGGGTCTTACTAAGTTGCTTAGGGCCTTGCTAACTGCTGAGGCTGGTCTCCAACTTGCAATTCTCCTGTTTCAGCCTCCTAAGTTTCTGGGAATATGGGCATGTGCCATAGCACCCAATTAAAACTCTTCATTTTTGCTGCACAATTTCTTTCTTACTACACTTACAATGTTACCAATTATAAAATGGGATTTGTTTCTTTTGGTGTAGGGGATTCTCATGGAAGCATTCAAACTTCCTTTAGTCTGAAACAAACCTTTTGTAAAGTAAGTATGCTAATGAAATGATAACTATAGTATGGCCCAGAGGATACTTCTTAAGCAGTGTTACTGAGACTGGGGTCCATATTGACCTTCCACAGGGTCCACAGTATGTGTGAATGTGCAAAAATCAAATGCCAAATTTTATATATGAATTAGATTTTCTGGGGAGAAGTCCATATTTCCATTAGATTTTTAAAGAATTTGCACCCTAAAATGCCAAGAACAACTGCAGCATGAAGTTTGTGGGTTGTCTTGGCATCTTGAACAGCATTGAGGAAGGGGGTTATACAGAAAAACAATATTTACTGGACATGTAAATTAGCTTCAAACAGTTATTTTCTTTCACATATAATCTCATGGACATAGTCTGACTCTGAATAAATAACCAAGTAGTTCCCAAAAGGAAAAAAAATTGCTAAATTGGACACATTTTAAATCAGGAAACTGAATGTGTCTTATCATGACAACAAATTGGAATTTGTGCTCCCAAACAAGACTATTGCCAGAGTACCTATTTAGCGTAAATAGGATTTTATGTATCTTAAATGTGTCTTAGACTAGTGGTTGGGAGAAATTGGTGACTATATAAGATGAAGAGCTTTGGAGTCAGTTCCTATTTAGTGATTCTTATAGTCTAGTTTTAATAAAAGATTATGCAGTTGGGAAAGAATATAGAGAAGCATTCCACTTGTATTTCAAAATTAAAACAAACAAATAAACCAACAACAACAACAACAAAAAACCTTTGTAGTTGTTATTTTCCAGAACAGTAAGGCTGCACAAACTAGTGATTTCAGGCTCCCTGACTCCAAATACGTCCATGCTGGTTCATCTAGCCACCCTTAAATGTGGCATTATGTTCATTCTGTATGTCGGGAGAAAAGCCCCCACTGTTGAGATTCATGGATCACACTTGAGAAGGGTTCCAATGCTGTCTCTCCCCATTAGCCTCTCAACACAGTTAGGCTCTCAAATTAGTGAATTTAGTCAGTTTAGAAACCCAGGCTTGGGATTGTAGACAGGAAGGAAAATGTTGGGGAACAGAAGCAGGTGGGATTCTGGTAGCAATTAACAGTAATAATGAGGGGAGCAGTGTGGGGAAAAACAGTTGCAGATCCCCCCAATTCAAGGATCTGCTTAAAGGAAATAAGTGGTATTGAATATAATTTTTCTCCCTGCAATTTTGCTCAAACTCAATAAGGCACATAGTCTGGGAAAAGAGGCAGTGGTCAAATGTTTAGCCCAATACAGAAAGCCAATGAATGTTGCAGAAAGCATTGTCAGAATAGGGGAAAAGCTCTATTTCTAATTGGTGAAAATATTTTGTAAAACTTCAGAATGAGGAAAGGATATGATTAACTAGGTTAACATATGGTGTCAAAAAGAACAGTATCTAAAAGCACAAATCTACCATTCAAATTTATCTTGTGTTAATTTTATTTTAAATGCATTTAAAAAGTGGATGTCCCAGTTGTGGATTATGGATGAAGATACAACTTGAAGAAAAAACCAGCCAATGTTACATAGATCTAATGAGGCAGTGTCTGGGGTGGGAGATGATAATTTTATTTAAAAACACAGAGACTTTTATTATATTTTGAAAATAAAACAGAAACTTACCATTTTTCACATACTTTACATGACGTTTTCATGTGCAGAGTGATTTTTTTTTTGCTAATTAAATCTACTGAAATATAGTTTAAAAAGTTAACCTTCAGTCTAATCTCAGGGCTTACAAGTGTTTGCCTCATGCATATAATTTTCAAATGATTAGGTTCAATGCCCTTTGTAAGTTCTGTAGTCATTAACTACCCAATTAATTAATTATTCTTTTTGTTTGAGGGTATTTAACTTATCTGTATGACAAAGTTGGCTGTGTTTCTGGTATTCCTGGAATATTTTATAATTAAATATTAATCTGAGAATGATATAATAAATGTAAATATCCATTCTTGTTCTAATCATAGGACAATTTACTAGTGATGATTAAAGTATGAAATGCATAATTTCAGACTTCAAATTCAGCACCACTGTTCTAGAAAATACTTTATAATCATCTTAAAGAGCCAAATAATTTTCAGAAGTACATAAGATTGTAAAGTTATATTTAAAGATGTTGCATTTTCTTATCAGATCTGCTAAATCTGGCCCAGTTCTGATTCCTTTGGCATTGGGTCTATGGATCATTACTAATTTTATCTTTAATGAAACATTGACCAATTATGCTAGGAATCAAAACATGACTCATGAACAATAGAACAATATTATGAAGAGGAATATAACAAAGATAGGAAAGAGAGCCATCAAGTTATGATGAATTCCAATTTGTTCACAAATTTACATGAGAGATACTAAATCTGTTCACAATTGACCCTCATATAAATTTATTAAATTTCACTTACAAAATACATTTAAATTTCATTTAATTTTTATTGGGAGTATCCTGGTTTTGGTTTTAAAAATACTTCAAAAGCCTACAAAAAAGAATACTAAAATCAATGAAAATGACTCTGCCTTTGATATATAAATTATATACCAAAAAGGAAAAGCATGCACATTTTTTTTTCAAATGCTTACTTGCAACCATGTCGAGTGCATTGTCCTCTGCCAGAACAGAACTTGAGACACGATGGACCAATGTAAACTGCAGGAAAAAAGGAATCATGTAAAAGATGGTGACATAACTGGAAAAACGAGGAACACCAACAGTACAATTTTGTGAAGCAAAATCTATGAAATATGGCCTATTGCCTGTGTGTTTGGTAACAGGAATCCATCGTGCTATGTGACAGGGTAAGTGCTTAGTTACAAACCTGCTGGAAGTGCTCTGCCTTCCATAAATAACCTTTTCAAGATTTTAATGTTTTGTGCTAAAGAAAATAGGACCATATGACAGGGATTCCTTAACAGTGTCTCTTCTGCTAAAACATTTTCAGACTGAATATTACTGCATGTATTTTGACCTTTCTATACCATTTAGGTAGAAATGAAGAATTCACAAAGGATCAATTTGATACATCACAAAATGGAGAGAGATCCTAACTACAATGACCATTCTTATTTGGGGAAAAATCTACAACATTGTAAATGATTGTTACATATACTAATTCATTCTCCCTGGAAGTATGGTATTAAGAATCTGTTATTGAGCATAAAGTTTAATTCATAATGCAAACCTTTTTCCTTAAATACTGAGCTTGACTAAAAATGCAATGTTGCAAACCTATATTCTAATCTTTGGAATGTTTAAAAATGCTCAAGTTGTAGGTTCTGATATACTCAGACTCTAATACATTTAAAGATACTAAGTATTTTTGTAATTGGCACAATCAACAATTGAAACAACCCCAAAGTGGGACAAAACCAAAGAGGATTTGAGATATAACTAAGATGTTATGAAGACCTCACATATTCACTTTCAGGCACAAGACAATTTACCATCCATTATCACTTTCTTCTCTGCCCTCTAAGCATGTCACGATATTTAAACAATTCTATTTTAGAATAGACTTTCCTGTGGTCTCTACTCCTAGAAGCACATAATCCCTTCAGCCAATTAATAGGAGGAGTAATTCAAATGAGATGCAAAGCAGGCTGGTGGTGGAAAAAAACCTTGATGAAGGAAACTACTGGTTTAGAAGAGAAGAGATAGCAAGCCACATTATTAACAGCATTGGTTTTAGATGTCAGATAATCCTGGATTTGTATCTGGCTTCACCAAGAAACTTAACTGATTCATCCTGTTTAAGCCTCAGTGGTCCCATTCTTTAAAGTGGGAGAATGATATTCCTTGAAAGAGTTATTAACATGTTTTATGGCACCAGATGGTTATAATCATCATCACCATATTGGGGTCATTTCCACTGCCAACCTCCTGCCCTATGTTGTTTCAATGGGCTTCACTATACGCCAACTGCTGAGCCATCAGAATGGGGCTCTATTATTTCTTTAGCCTGGAAAAATGTATGGATTTTCTTTCCAGCACACTTGGTTTTATGGCTGTAGTAGAACCTGCTCCAGGTGCTTTGAGAGGAATATTGCACTCTGAAGAATTACTGTAGAGGCTGCCCTACAGTACATACATGCCATAGTTCAGAAAGTCTCCAGGGTGAAAACACAAAACCAACAATAACATAAGGCTTTCCAAACCAATGAAAAAACAGCGATTAATGATTTGTCATCCCGTCCTACTGAGTAGAGTCATTAGGACTCCTAAGTTTACAGTCTTCCTTTCCACAATGGTATGGAAAGCGCAGATTAGTTTTCTTTACTACTATTGTTAATGTAATATAGCTGAAAAAATAAAAATATGAAGCAAATATAATTTACCCTAGAATTTTCCATTTTGTGAAGATTTTTAGGATAACTTCCTACATACATATTTATTTATTTATTCTTTTTAGTTATATGTGATAGTAGGATGTATTTTGACATATTACACATAACATGGAATATAACTTCCCATTCTTGTGGGTTGTACATGATGTGGAGTTACACTGGTCGTGTATTTCATATACGAACATAAGAATTATGTTCAATTCATTCTACTGTCTTTCTCATTCTCTCTCCCCCCACTCCCTGTCCAATCCAGTGCAACTATTCCCTCCAACTCCTGCCTAACCTGAGTTAGCATCTGCATATCAAAGAGAACATTTGGCCTTTGGGGTGGACTGGCTTATTTTACTTAGCATAATAATCTCCAGCTCCATCCATTTACAGGCAAATGTCATAATTTTTTAACACTGAGTAATATTCCATTGTGTATATGTGTCACATTTTCTTTATCCATTCATCTGTTGAAGGGCACCTAGGTTGGCTCCAGAGCCTAGCTATTATGAATTGAGTTGCTGTGAACATTGATGTGGCCATGTCACTATAGCACACTGATTTTAAGTTCATTAGGTATAAACCAAGGAGTGGGATAGCTAGGTGCAAGTTTTCTGAAGAATCTCCATGCTGCTTTCCATAGTGGTTGCACCAGTTTGTCATCCCACCAGCAATGTACTCACATACTTTCTTTACAAATAGCAGGAGCTGGCTATTGTAAGGGAAGAACATACCTAACAGAATTATGATACTGGTCTGTTTCTTTCTCTATGTTTCTTTTGATGGTCATAATTCTGGAATTCCATACTGAAAGGGGGAGATTGCAGGGGAATTCTATAGCACTTGTTTCTCTTGGGAAGGAGTGTGTGTCTTCTCTTTGCCTTGTGAAGAAGCCAGAGACTGTTCCTGTTTTTGTGAAAACCTCACACAGGATGATAAGAGAATTGAAGAGATTCTGCCCTCAGTTTTGCATTTAACACACATTGCTACCCATATGCATTCTCTGTATCCTAACCTCTTCCTAGTATAGTCAAAGCATGATGGTAGGAACCCAGATAAGTAAAGTAGCTCTTTCTGACCCAAATCATATTATAATAGCCTTATTCAGAAAATTGAGATACTCTTCTCATAGGCTTTTATATATATATACTTCATTGGACTCTCAGTTTCCTCACATGCTTTATTTCATTATTAATTTTGAAACTTCTTTTGTGATTATTAAAGTAATAAAAGTAATGAGCTTATGAGAGAACCCTTGAAAACTATAATAGTAGGAAAAACCCGTTCATATCCCACTACCCAGAGACACACGCTTGTTCCCTAGAGCTCATTAAAAGGTGTAGTAATTAAAATGCTATGCAAAATATTCTGTCAATGCCCTGTAATCCCAGCAACTCAGGAGGCTGAGGCAGGAGGATCACAAGTTCAAAGCCAGCTTCAACAACTTAGCAAGGCCTTAAGCAACTTAGCGATTCCTTGTTTTAAAATGAAAAATGAAAAGGGCTGAGGATGTGGCTGAGTGGTTAAGCATACCTGGGTTTAAACCCTGGTATCAAAAAACAAAAACAAAAGAAAAATCTGTCAATGGGGAAACTCTATTTTAACAAATTCAACTTTGGATGTTTTTACAAATGCACTATGTTTATAAAACTCACATGGCCTTCAAAGTGTGGGCTTTTTACTGGTCCTTTTTGAACATAAAATTTTTTAAAAATTCACATTGGTTTACGAGTAAGCCATCTTGCCTGAAGTTATTCCCAAATTTAAAGAACTTTATATATGTAATTAGCTTCTCAGTGTCTACATTATTCAAAAATAACAAAAGAAGATTAAGACATGGAAAAACCAACATTAAACAATTATGTAGGTTTTATAAAGTTGATCACAAATCTGTGACCATTGGCTGAAGTATTGACATTTTGTCCCTCTTTCCCTTCCTGTCTCTCTCCCTTTCCTGTCCTTGTAGTATAAACCTTCAGTCAAATGTATATACTCTGAAAACAGAAAATATTTGAATCCATCCATAATTAGAATAAAAAATCAGAAAATTGACTATTAATAACAAATGCAAGAAATTAGTCATCTAACCCTATAACTTAAAATATCTTTTTTCATTGTGCATCTGTCCTAAGTGTTATTGGCTTAAAAATGATGCAAATTGTCAACAATTTACTTAAAAACTTGTGTGTATATCCACTTTTTCCTTTTATGCTATTTTCTGAAAAAAGAGGCAGAAATTTCACCAGTATTTTAGAGATGATGTTGCTTTCAGTGTAGTGTCTGCAGCAAACAGATAAGTCTTCCAGATGTTATGACAGTTACTAAGAGAAGAATGAGTCTTATTTTAATACATGCAGGATGGTATTTATGTTAATTTTGCATAACACATTCAAATAAAATGTTAGGATATCCCTTGTCATCAACTGTGAATTTGAGTTTCAGGCCTTTAAGCATTTTTAGACTGTGTATGTTGAAACATTCTAGCATCTAATATTGCTGACTACACAGGCTTTTTTTTTTTTTTCTGATTGCGCATCCCTGGGTTTCTAACGGAATGCAAAGGAGAAAAGGAAGAAAGGGCGTTTAATGAATCTCAAGACCATGACTTAGAAATGTGATTAAGTCTGGGCTGACTAACAAAAGCACAGGAAGACTCCACATCAATGGCATGTGATTATGACAGGCATAAACACTAACCATTATCAATCGCCCACATGTTTCCAAGGATTGGTCCCATTTGCCTCCAACGGATCCTGGTGTCTTGGGTTAGTGCTGCGTTAGGGAGGGGAATCGTTATTCGGTTCCACCTGCAAAAAATTTAGCACAAAACCAGACTATGTTGACATCTTTTAAATCCATTTTATATGCGTGTGATGTTCCCATCTCTAGGTACTTGTAATAGCACTAAAGTTTCTCAATAAACTCTTTATGTTCACCTATGGAATTTGTGATAGTCTAAAAACAGACATACAACTTGTAAGAGCACCCATATCCTACTAGAGTAGTGGATTTATTCTTTATAGCAAGTGATATTTATTTTGTTTAGACATTATTTTTATAAAATGTTTTATTTATGATATATAAACATTGGACATATTAATGTGGTGTCATGTTATGTTTTGGTACATTTATACATTCTGTAATGTTTAAATCAGGTTTTACAATACTCACAGCTTAGATATTAACCTACAGAAATCATCTGTGTAGAGATGGGGTGCTGATTAGCATCAATTACTTTTTAATTTTTTGCTACCCCTTGCCCTCTGCACATGTAAAAAGGGGTAGCAAAATGTTTTCTAAAAAGAAAACATTTCCCAACTTAATTTTGCTGTTCTTGTAAATATTTTTACTATGTAAATCATATTTATTCTGTTAAGTGGAAAGCATTACATAGCCATTTTAATTCTAGTAATTCTCAAAGGAATACATTTATGGTCTTTAATTTATGTGAAAAGAAGTGGAAAGTTTCTCAGAGAGAATGCATATCATTACCCAGATAGCAGATGGCAGAATAACATATAAACTCAGGTCTAATTCCAAAACTTAACTTTTCTATACTTCTCTATGCTGGCTCTTTCCATAAGTCTTATTTTGGCAGTAAGCCTTTTGGTAATAATCACAGGATTGCCATAACAGAATTTAAATTCATGTAGTCCAAAATATAAGTCAGGTACATGAAAAATGAATGACTGTATAAACTGTGATCTTGCATCAGCTTTAGCAAAAGTATTTCTCTCCTTCTTCAATGATACTACTTTTAAGGAGAAGTCAGATTCCTTATCTATTATATAAAAAATGCTATAGTTTCTGTATTACTCATTAATTTTCATTCTGCATCATGGAGAGAATTTACTCACCCGCTGTAGTTTTCGGAGGAGTAGATGGTGCTGTGGGGGAGGTGAGGGCCAGCACAGATCTCAGGTAAGCATTCAGTGTGCAGCAGGGACCAGGAACGCCCATGGTTAGTAGAAAACTCCAAGCTGACACTAGTAACAACAGAACAAGCACAACACAAAAGCGGCAAAGATTAAAAAATTACTTTTCATCTCTGCCTAAATACAATAAACATCTTTAGAACTAGTGTGAGATTTCTTTAAGATGGCTCTTTACTAAATGATTGCTTTCTCTTTCACCCAGGTCTGACCAGCCTTCAAAGGGCAAGCAGTTAAATTACTGCTATAATAACAAACTCCTTTAAAAGACAACAAATGGTAACTTGAGTCTGAGCTCTTGAATTTGATAGATGGCAAGGCAATTACCATGTCTCACACTGTCACTTCATCCTGTGAATGTGAGACACAAAAATTCTTAGAAAGGATCCCAGCAACACTTCTGCAAGTGAAACTGAGAAGTCATAGCTCTTGAAGTGCTAATTGATTTCCCTGCCTATTATTAGGGGGTCACTAGCCAACATGAGGTCAAGCTTGTTTTCAGTTGTTACTCTCTCAGCAATCTGTTGTAATGGATGGCTGCCACAGCGCATGCACACACCTCTCATACCTAAGATCATGCTCTTAGAATGAAGCCAATTCCTACTTAAAATCTACCCAGTCATAACCCACCTATTAACTGAAGGACTTCTCTTTTGGGAAAAATGTGTATTTTATTAATGGATATTTTATTAAAAATCCAGCTAAAAACCTACTGAGAAATTGTCTCTGATTTAACAGCCAAATTCATGTGTTCATTTTTAACTGTTAGTACACCCACAAAATAGGGTTTCCTACCTGTTACCAGGTTGATGTGTTCCACATCCCAGATTAATAGAAAACTGTATCATGTGAGACATTGTAGAAGGGAGAACAGGTAAGACGTGGAAAAAGTCTACAGCCCAGACATTCCTATTATGTCCTTGATGGTTCTTTTGCCTGAGACAAAATTTGGTAGCAGGAGTCTGAAGTTCAGGGTTGATGACCACGGACACCAAAGATGGAACCTTCCAAATAAAGGAAACCAAATCACTCATAACCTTTCCTATGTTAGTCAATGTGTATTCTCCTAGGTTCTCTCTAGTCATCGCTAAATACATAACTGCCATCTGTTGAGCATCAGGCAATAGCCCTGTGTTCCGTTTGTTATTTCATGTAGAAGATGCTGTCAAGGAGCACTTTTTTTTTTTTTTTTTTTTTTTTTTAGTGACTCAGAATTCCTCCTTTGAAGACAAGTGTGGCTTCTTGTGTGTGATTGATCCGGTTCTCTGTTCAAAGACAAGTTGATCTAAGGTTTTAAAAAGTTATTAAAGCATATTTATCCATTTTATCTACATTAGCACAAGACAAAGGCAACTTGACATTTACTTGGCTTTATCAATAGTGCTTTGAAAAGTGGAGTTGTATGATATTAATGGTTTTCCAAACCAGGTATTCTGAAAATAGTACTCTAAGCAGAAACTTTCAGAGCCAATGAGTTAATGTATAACTTATACAATTGATTTGGTCTGAGACATGCAGATGCCAGACCAGATATAACCCCACCATGTCCCTGATGTGAAAGTAGTTCACTAAGAAATCCCAATATCCAGCATGTTCCCAAGTGGTATAACATGGGAACATGCTGGATATTGTCATCAATATTGGAGATAAAGCTGACTAATGAGGATGTGGGTATAGTCTCAGCACAGGTAAGTCTATTATAATAAAAATAATTTAAATCTGATTCCCTATGACAAGCATCTCACATGATTTGACGATATTTGCAAATAACCAGAGACAACATTTGCCCTGTATCCACAGGGCAAAGGAAAAAGGTCAACCTCAGTCACTCTAATTAGCAAAGAAGAAAGCAAAGGTAACATAAAAGTTCTGTTACAATGTCATCTGCCTAACAAATCTCAAAAGGCTGGATAAATACTGATTAAGCTTGATAGCAAGGCTGTAAGGCTGCATAATTACAGTCATATTTAGAGCTTTCCTGGGGACAAGAATAACTGTCAGTCAGAGTATTTGGTTCCATTTTATTATTGCTGATGGGCTATAATTCTTTCTTCTTGATAAAATCTAATTTTTATTTGTATCAGAAATAAAAGTGAATATTAAAATGTCCATGTCACTTTTTTTTTAAACTGTCAATTTCTTGGGCTACCAGGAAAGAGATTTATTCTCTGTATCTGGCATGGTCTTCATGGTTTTGACTTTGGCTTGTCTGGGGAGTTGTGAGGTGAGCATTTGGCACAAGGATTGGAAGTTGTACCTTATATGAGGAATAAGAAAGAGTATCCAGTGCAATGTGCTCTTTTCTTCCTTCTATCTTTGCATACAAGATGATGTCATTTTCGTGAGAATCTCCAGGGTCACAAATTCCTCCTGCACCAAATAAAAATTTCATGGTGTTAGTACCGATGTGCATTCCCCAAACATCAAATACAGTGTTAAATTTCAGAATAAGAAATAACTATGCCACCCAGATGTCACTTAATAATCCTAGGGGCTGCAGTTGTAGCTCAGTGGTAGAACACTTTCCTCACACGTGTTAGGCACTGGATTTGATCCTCAGCACCACAAAAAATAAAATAAATAAAACAAAGGTATTGTGTTCACCTACAACTAAAAAAAAAATGATCCTAAACAAAGATAATCAAACCCAAGGAAATCCTTCATGAAGATAGTTCAGATGAGCCATGCTAAAGACTTGATATTTGTGAAGGTCAAAGTAACTATTTGCTTAATGGGATTACTGAAGTAAATGTCTGTGTGTAGCAGGACAACATGTCTCTGTTTCAACCCACATTAAAAATGATATGCTTTTGGGGAGAGAAAGGGGCTGAATTAGAGCAAATTATATTCCATCCTTTTATAAATTACATCAAAATGAGTTCTAGTGTAATGTATAACTAAAAAGAATCAATAAAAATATGTGCTCTTGCTTTTTAATAAACCATTACTTTCTTATATTTGAGGTCTTTATGTTCAAAGTTCAGAACCTATTGATTATGATTTTAAAACAAGTTTGGTGATGCACTGCATTAAAGACTTATAAAGTAGTGTCATTCAGGATGTTGCAAAGTAATACCTATGGTATTTTAGCATATATATTTGTATTTTAAGTGAGGTTCATTTTACATTTTTCATTTTTATATTTGGTACTTCATTTGATTGTTGGAAGGTACATAAAGTAGTTATCCACTATCTACTTCACAGTCCACATGAAATGATATGCTATTAGAACTGGAAGGTACCTAAGATTTTTCTGATGATGAAATTGAATATCAGGGAAGGTACTGGAAGTTCAAAATCATTTAACCAGCTGGTGGAAAAGCCACGAGTAGATACAAGTCTTTTACCCTTTGATCCTCTGTATTTTAGTCAGCATTTTCATTGCTGTGACCAAAAGACCTGACTGCAACAATTTTAGAGGAGGAAGAGTTTATTTGAGGCTCACAGTTTTAGAGGTGGTGGAAGGATGTGGTGGAGGAAAACAGCTTAGGACATAACCATCAGGAAGCAGAATGAGAACTTGCTCACCAGGGACAAAATGTATACCCCAAAGGCACACTCCCAGTGATCTACTTCCTCTAGCCACACCCTACCTGCCTAGTTACACGCCTCCCATCATCCATTCAAGTGAATTAATGCATTGATTCAGTTAAGGCTTTCATAACCCAATCATTTTACTTCTAAACTTTCTTGCATTATCTCACACATGAGCTTTTGGGGGACACTTCATATCTAAACCATAACATTGTTCTTTTCACTACTGTGCTTTGCCAATAATTCTTGCTATTTCGGACTTCTATCCATCGTCTGCATAACCTGGATTTTAAAGGATCCCATGTCTAACTAGATGCCTCTCCCCACCCACCATTATCCTTCATATCAGTTATAATCATGACAACAGAAGTGTGAATGTGTATATGAAATTACTGGAAAATATCCTATCCTTAAGGCCCAAAGTTTGTAACATTATTACAAACTTTTATTATTATTATTATTTTTTGTGGTGGTGGGGATTGAACCTAGGACCTTGTGCACGCAAGGTGAGCAGTTTACCAACTGAGTTATATTCCCAGCCCCACAAACTTTAATTATTATCTGAAAAATTCTTTCAGTTCTTAAATCAGCCACTTTGAATGTTAATTTTTATCTATAGGCACCTGCTGTTGCTAGCACTCTATGGTGCCAGTAATGCAATCCCAGAGTTCTAGAATGAGATTACCCTTTGAGAATTAAACTAGTAAAATAAATAATGGTTGAGACTCTCAATGTGAAATAAAACACACCAAGAAAGGGTCAATTGCTTATAAATGGTTGATTCAAAATCCATCAGCGTAACTGATTCTGATCTTGGGAAGAAATGATTTGCTAAGTGATGTTAAATAAGAAAACTAGAAAGAATCCAATCAGTACAAGAAATTTCATAATAATAGAAGAAATATTAGCAAAAAAAGAAGGACATTCATAGAGCAAGACTTTGACAGGATATCTATAGCCTGGACAGGAATAAAAGGATTTTTTAATGATAAAGGCAAGCCCTGTTAATTCATTTGGCAAGAAGTATCCTGCAATGAAGAATGCTATATCAGATTATCATAGTTCTGAAATTCTTGCCATTAAAATGGCTGGGTGAAAGGTATATCTGATTTGATCCTTTAAACATTGTTTATTCCTTAATGCTTAACAGTTAAAATTGTCATACTTATTGAGAAGAATTATGATTTGTCCATAAGCCTCCTCAGAGCTTTTAGCAGGAGCCAGTCTCCAAGATCCCCTTTCTGGGATTAATAAAGAAAATTGATTTTTTTTTTCTGAATCTATAAGCCTGAGACTTGCATAGTGACAGTAATGACTCCACCAAGGTCACCAGTAAAGCCCATTTTGATTGGCAAGCTGTCTTATTTATATAACTTCCTTAAAATTTCATCTTCCTAAATGCAACAATTCTCAATAATCTAAACCAATAGTTAAACAGATGACTTGTACTTGCTTTGGAAGCACACTACTGGAATTATACTGTGCAATTACTCTAAACTCAATTCTCCTAGGCTAATTCTAAAATTATTTGGCATTTTTGAGAAGCACCGCTGGAAGTAACCCAATAAATTATCTTGATTGCAGAGAAGCCAGGGTCTGGCTTGTAAACTAAGCTTCTTTAAGAGACTAGAGGATTCTGGGAGTTTGCTACTAGCGTATCTAGTTGAGCCAGAGAAGGAGGAAGTTCAGCACACATTCTCACTCTATTGTGTGTTCCTAGAGCTGCCTAGGGGTTTGTGGGATAGCAGTAAATTACAGGGTGGAGCTGTGGAAATTAACTTCCATATTTGGTCAAAAAGGTTTGGAGAGTAGATTGAGATTCCGGCTCATGACATACTGACCTTACAATTCAGTCACTTGTGAGAAAATCTGCCTGATAATATATTTAATTCCCAAAGAGGACGGAGGAGAGTGATTCCAGGTGGGATGACAGGGAAATGATCTGCAGCATGGAGAATGCCACAGAGAATAAGGTCAAATAGGACAAGGCTGAGAGATCAGCAGGGACTTTTGAGAAAGCATTCCCAGTGTGAAATGCCTGGGAAACCAAAGCACATGGAGTTTAAAAAAAAAAAAAAATAAAGTCTGCTCCTTCAAGAACTTATTCCATAGAGTTAAGAAGAGATATGGTCTGGATCTTGAGGAAAGGGCAGTATCTGTGGTTTTCCAGTTTCACAAAGAATTGACGGTGGAAATGGTGTTAGGCAATATCTGGAACAGGGTTTTATTTTGGGCCAGACTTTCGAGCACTTACTGTGTGCAGTGATATAGTCAGCTTTGTGTTGTTGGGACTGAAACATCCAACAAGAACAACTTAGAGGAGGAAAAGTTTATTTTGGCTCATAATATCAGAGGCCTCAGTCCACAGACGACTGCATTGCACTTGGACAAAGGTGAGACATTAAATCATGGTAGAAGGTCAAGGATCCAGGGATAATATAATCCCCAAGCAACCCCTCAGTGACCTACATCCTTCAGCATATTCTACCTGACTATAGTTACCACCCATTAATCCATTTAAATTTTTAATCCACTGATTATATTACAGTCCATCACAATCTAATCATTTTACCTCTGAACATGTCTTTATTGTCTCACACATGAGCTTTCTGGGACACCTCAATTATAACAGTTCTATAATGAGCCCATACTACCAAAGTCAAGTCTGTAGTTAACATTATTTTGTTTGACTCCAAATTTACACTACCACTCAGAAGGGAAGTCTTGGATGATAGTATTTGTTTTCCTGTGTGTTGTTTGTTAAGTGGTATTGAGGATTGAACCCAGGGCCTCATGCATGCTAGGCAAGCACTCTACCATTGAGCTATATCCCCAGCCTGAATGATGGTATTTATAAAGCATTAACATTTGGCATGTAGATATGTTTGCCACAGGTAAATTTGCCTATTTAAATATTTATAGGATTAAGTAATATGAACTGAAAATAGAGAAAGTAGATATGATAATAATGTAGATCTCATCCTAATGTATGCTTGTTGCTCAAGGTCAACCACCCATAGAGAACATCTTGTGATTTTGACATTAGCATCATAGTTTTAGCATTTATTACACACTTCAATGTTTTGATAAGTACAGTTAGTAAAGTCACCGTAAATGATAGTGTCTGGAGGAAAGGATCCATGTTAAAAACAAAATTTTCCTTTTAGAAAAATCAGGTTTTTTTAAAAAATTGAGTATTGAGCACATTTGCAGGCTTACCAGGAAAAAGAACTACAAAGGTTAAAGGTCACAGGTGGTGTGGGTTTGCTGCACCACACCTAAAGACACAGGACCCAAATTATCAATTCTCTGTGATTTCATTAACTTGTTCCCTGTGCCCTCTGTGCTTTCCTAAGAACAGTCCATGAACTGCATCTGCTTGTCAGAGAGATGCAAAACTTGTGGGAGCCTCGCCCAGCCCAGAATGGCAGAAGAAGGTCCAAAAGGAGCCAAGACATTAAAATGTTGATAGATTTTATCTGAAAGAGCCCTCTGAGGGTAATTTATCAGTTCTGGGAAGTTTCAGTGACAGCAGCTCCTACAAGAAGAAATGAATTCTTCCTTAGCTTCATAGCCTTTGATGCATTGTGGAAAGTAGCACTCAGGGGGCATCTCGCATAGCAATGAATGCAAAAAAGGGTTTCAATAAAAGCTAGATGAATGGCTGTTTTTAAGTATTTTAAATACTGTTTTAAGTAGCATTTTAGATACTTCTTATACCAGGAAAGTGATTTTTTTGAGGCTTTGCTATTTGCAGAGCGTTGGACTAGAAGAGGAAATACATCTTGACTTCAAAAAATTTGTTATTTAGTGAGGAAAAACAAGACTGATACAGGAGTCTCTCTTATTCCTAATTTTGTTTCCATTGTTTATTTTCCATGGTCAACTACAGTCTGAAAATATTAACGTCTGTCCTGCCTTGTCCAAGACAGAGAGACCACAATTACATAATATTTATTGCAGTTATTACAATTGTTCTATTTTATTAGTAGTTATTGTTATCAATCCCATACTATGCCTAATATATCAATCAAATTGTATCATAGATATGTGTATGTATAAAAAATCAGTATATATAGGGTACAGTACTATCTGTGGCTTCAGGTATCCATTGGAGATTTTTGAACATATTAATAAGGAGGATATGTTGCTACTTATATGAAAAAATGACTAGAAACTGTTGTGCACCACAGTTGTAGTAAAAATGCAGAGAAAAAAGATATAAATATGAGCTAAAAGAACTGAACACATTGTAGATGCTAATAAATACTTATTGGAGGACCAATAAACAAATAATCAAATGAATGATGTCTGTTAGGTTATTTTTGTCCTGTTCATTGAATTCTGGCTCTAAAAACAGTGCTGAATACTGGCCCTTAATGAATTTGTGTTTGAATAGATGAATGTATAAACAAAGGAAACAGACTTTGAACTGAATTTTGGAAACTGAAATTACATTCACAGAAATCTGATATGAAGCAAGCATATAATATATCATGGACAGGGTCTGAGGAGGAGGGAGTATGATGCCCTTTAGATTAACAATTAGCCACCGATACTCCAAAGGTGCCAGAGGGGTTATTTATAAACCATCTTATGATAAATCCCTTCCCATAGTGCTTTTTTCCCACTAGCTATCAAAGTTTCAGTTTTTTCTATAGGTCCAGTCTTATCCTATCCCACCATATCCTACCTTACCCTCTCCTTTCCTCTCCTGTCCTAAAATAGACACCTTCCCTGGATACTGTGGTTTCCTCAAGATCCAGACTTCATTTGTTTTCTTAACTCTATGATGACATTCTTGAAGGAGCAGTCCTAGTTCAGTGACATGTTATTTTCTTT